AGGAATATTGTGTTCTCTGATAAGTTTATTGTTGTTGGTTTTTTTCTTTAATTTAAATGTCTGCGTAAATCCCTGCTAATCGAAAATACAATGTTTATCCTCTGAGCTCAGTTGGGAGAAGACAACCAATATTATTTTTAGCCTTGCAAGAATTCAGATTAGTATGGCATCTAACCTGTGAAATTATGATGCAAAGAGCAACTGAGGTAATCAATTCAGCCACCTACCATATATCATGCAAACTTTGGAAATGCTGTCAGAAGACCAAAAGCTGTAAGAAATCTCTTACACCTGAGTCTCTCCAGCAAGTGATTTTTTGGTTGTATAGTAGGCAACATACAATGCCATTCTGTAAATGCTGTCAAGAAAAGGGAAGAGTTTTCAGTGCAATTAATTCCCCAAACAGGAAGCCTGTGCTGTGTATCCCAGAACTTAGTGTGTGACCAGGCAAACAGCAAAGCCAGTTTGGAAGCTGTTGTGGCCTTGTACTGATTTAGGCATTACTCAGTGCCCTTCTGGTATGGAGCAGACAAAGGTGAGGTGACTTCAGACACAGGAATAGACCTCGGTATGTTGCAACTCGTTTCCTGGCTACAGCTGAATCCCATGTAGATGTGCCTCACAGTCTAGGAAAACCCCTAGATTTCTCAAACTTAGTCCTTTCTGGACAGAGGAGGAAGGGAGGGAGGGAGTCATGTCTTTTGTCCCATGCTTTTCTTGAAGGCTGCCTTTTTATTTGATCATTTCCTAGAGTTTCCTATAATAGAAGCCTTTTTCCATCACATAGTTAAGGTCCAACAATTGCCCTTAATTTCACATCCATCTAAATTCAAAGTTTTCTTGTTGTAAAAGCAGCAGGCTTTAGTTCTCCAGGCTTTTCCCCATATACTCTGACAGTCTTTTCTTTGCGAGGGCTAGATCTACATCAGTGGGTCCAGACTGACGTGAGCTCTGCAGCGTGTGCCCTGAGCTTGATGAACGCAAGCCGGCTTTCACCCGGGAGCTGTATAGCCACATTAACATGGTGCTGTGCTGAGCAAATCATGAATGGGCATAGCCCTGGCTTGTACGCAGCCGTGCCCCAGCACAGCTGTATTGCTTCTGAATCAGACTGGCTCACATCCAAAAGATCAGTCTTAGGTGTGCTGTCAAAGTCCTGTGTTTGGATATCCTAGTCACATATTTGTACCTGTACCATTCTCCGCTGGTATAAAATCTAAATCTTTTTTTCTTAGAATTATCCTTCATGGTCCAAGTACCCCCACTGTCAACAAACCCATTTTTTTTCAAGAACATTTGAGATATAAGGCAGACCAAAAAGTTTATAATTTTTAGGGATAGAGGCATACTCATTCTTAAATAAAACTTGAGCTTCTTGAATCCACATGCTGCATGGTCTGAATTTGTAAAGTTGTATCAAATTTGCATTTATGAGGTTTGATGTAACAGAGAGCATTCACACAGCCAAATTCAGGTGTCCAAGCATGATTAGGCTGGTTCTTTCCTGCTTCCTGTGCAACCAGGGAATGCTTTTTCTAGAGGATGACTGAAAGCAGGGGCACAATTTGAAGGAACAATTGATGTGAAAACAAAACATAGTTGGCCATTCCTTTTCCTTCAGAAACTGAAGGTGCATTCCTTTAACCCATGTTATTTTAGTGCACATTAGTGCTCACTAAATTTAAATGGTTGGAGAATTGCAAGTATTAAAACCTCCACTCTGTAGGAGATTAATATTAGGCCTCAGTGAAAACTCAGGGTTTGAAGATGGGCAGTAAAATAGGACAAATGTGGTTGGTTGTTACCATTATGGTGTGCTGGTTTTGGCTGGGATAGAGTTAATTTTCTTCACACTAGCTAGTATGGGGGTATGTTTTGGATTTGTGCTGGAAACAGTGTTGATAATACAGGGATGTTTTAGTTACTGCTGAGCAGTGCTTACACAGAGTCAAGGCCTTTTCTGCTCCTCACACCACCCAGCGAGTAGGCTGGGGGTGCACAAGAAGCTGGGAGGGGACACGGCTGGGACAGCTGACCCCAACTGACCAAAGGGATGTCCCATACCATATGGTGTCATGCTCAGCATGTAAAGCTGCGGAAGAAGAAGGAAAGGGGGCACGGTTGGAGTGATGGCATTTTGTCTTCCCAAGTCACTGTTACGTGTGACGGAGCCCTGCTTTCCTGGAGGTGGCTGAACACCTGCCTGCTGATGGGAAGCAGGGAATGAATTCCTTGTTTTGCTTTGCTTGTGTGCGCAGCTTTTGTTTTACCTATTAAATTGTTTTTATCTCAACCTATGAGTTTCCACACTCGCAACCCGCAAGTTTTCTCCCTTTTACCCTTCCGATTCTCTTCCCCATCCGACCGGGAGGGAGGGAGCAAGCAGCTGTGTGGGGCTTAGTTGCCAGCTGGGGTTAAACCACGGCATATGATTACACAGGATGGTGAAAAGTTGGAGCTCTGACTGTATCCTTATTTACTGAAAACATGGATGAAATGTGTGATGGAGATAGAGAGGTTTGTGTGGTACAACAAAACTGGGGAAGCTGTCTTGTAATTGCATTTGCAGATTCTCATTTGTCTTACAGTATCTTGTTACAAAAACAATGTAGTAGGACACAAATGGTGAAAGGTGGTGGTACTGCATATAGGTACATAATTTTTTTAAGAGACTATAAGGAACCCAACATTTGCTTTGAGTTTCCTAGTATTGGTATGGTAACCTTGTTTGTCTGTTTGTTTTCTTTAAGTGATAGAAGCCACCTTCTAAAAGAAGCAGAGATATTACACAAAGCCAGGTTTAGTTACATTCTGCCAATTTTGGGAATTTGCAACGAGCCTGAGTTTCTGGGTATAGTAACAGAATACATGACAAATGGGTCATTAAACCAGCTTTTACATGGGGTAAGTGTACTTACAGTCTTTAAATACAATCCCTTGTTGTTTCAAATAGATTATGATTTCCATACTTAAGGGAAGTAGTATAGTAAAGAGCATTATTAATAATATTTCAAATTAAAAGACAGTCATTATCACTAGTAGTTTTTGGTGCTCAGATAGATTTTCTGTATCCCAAAAAGACAACCAAACTCATCAGACTTTAGTTTTATTACACTTTTTCCTTTAATGTTGTGACCTATAACTGGCTTCACGTTGAATTTTTATATAGTCACTTTAAAAATCTCTGTTATTCTCGAAGTGGAAGCTGAAATACTTATGTTTACTTCAGCCTGGGTGTCAGAATTGTTGCCAATGTAAATATCACACAAAGATAAGGCTTTTTCCCTGGGTCTGAATCTTTGTAAAAACATTTGAAGATTTTGACTGTAGTTTATAGAAGTAAAATATTGCTAATCTAAACAGATATGGATATTTCTACCAGATCTTACTCTCAGGGGTAAGTTCTTCTGTGCTGAACTCTCAGCTGCTCCCATTAGCTTGGTCTGAGCATCCAGTGTTGCTACTGTAAAGCTACTGCAGTTGTCTCTCAACAGCACTACAGTCTTGTCTGTACCTTTAATCACTACGTATCTCATGCCTTAGAGAGCTCAGCTGTGTGTTTTTCATAAAGGCGTTAGCGTCAATGCAACTTTTAAGGTTTCAGTTGAGTTTTACTGAGTTTTCTTGGTGTATTAATATTTATAAAGGTAGTATTTTGTGCTTGGTTTCACCACCGCTTTTTTTTTTCCCCACAATGTCAGTTGAAGATATGATTCTTGCCTTCCTTTGTGTAGTACTTATAATCTGTGGGTTGCAAGTTTCATCCTAATCATTCCATATGAATGAGAACGTAGTAAATGTCCTACATCATGTACACCAGTCATGAACCATTACGTGAATGCTAGGGAATGGAAACATCACATTGCAAGATTAACATTTATATATTTGTTTTAACAGCTAACCAGTCTTAATGCTTGTTACAATTTTTTAAGGAGTTCATGTAATGTATGTTTTAAAAGATTAGTTTGTCCAAGCCACTTTCTTCTTATTATGAAAGTCTTTCTGTTGTTAGATCTCTAATCTGATCAGAACAGAGGATTATATTCTGGTTTTGTGGTTTTATCTTGGCAGAAGGATGTATATCCTGACATTCCCTGGTGCCTGAGATTCCGCATTCTTTATGAAATTGCTTTGGGAGTAAACTATTTGCACAATATGAATCCTCCATTGCTGCACCATGACTTGAAAACTCAGAATATTTTGCTGGATGATGAATTTCATGTCAAGGTAGAGTTATTTAATTCATATGTTCTTCAGCATCCAGAATGAGCAAAAGTGTTTTAATTATTGTAGAGAAGGAAGAATGAGGATGTGGCCATACAGAGAGTATGTAATTGTATGCCAGATGTTTTCTTCTGTCCTTGCAGATGGAACTTATCAGCTTCTTTTGAAAACACTGCTTTGCTCAAGTGTGGATTTGATCCATCTGAAAAAAAAAGCAAGCCAGAATTTAGGCTGTTTGTACTGTAGCAGTAGCTGCTACTCAATAGCAGTGACACTATTCTATGGCAGCCTTCCAAGAGTAGCTATGTCTGGCCCTTTCTGAGGAGAAAATAGAAAGTGTTCCTGTCTGGGATGCTCAGACAAGGTAGTTCTCGAGGATAGTAGATCAAATTCAAATGTTAATACCCTATTTGATATTTATCACGTAATATGTACATATATGTGCTGTTAGTGTAGTATGAGAACATGTAAAAACGTAACTGCGAAATCTGAACATGTTGGAAGATGGTTTTGTGAAGCTCCTTAGAACAAGCAAACATACATAGAGAAGTAATATTAATTTAAAACTTCAATTCTGCCTTTTAAAATATCACTGCCATGATGTGAAAAAGAGACTAAAAGTACTTCTGACAAAATGGTTAGGTGCAAGAGTTGGGGGCTTTTTGTAAAAGATCCTCTGGTTTTAAAATTTATAGAATATACTATTCAAGTAAATGAGAAATAAGAGATATTTTGCACTTAATTTATACTTGAATGGCGAATGCTTCAGTTGTTACCATGAGATGAATGGTTTGGTGAGTCCTTTGAGCAAAGATCCAGTGCTGATTTCTTCTTTCCCCATTGCAAAGACATTTTTCTTGGCAGCAAGGCACCTTACACAGCTTTGTCTCCGCTCACACCCTCAGCAGGTCATACCTCCTCCCACTCAGGTGTGCTGGTATTGCCATCTCGCAAGCTTCCTGATAAACCTGATTGGGGAACTGGCCCAAGTAATTTTTTTATCCACTCTTTTTTTTTTAATCCCTAACAGCATTGGTGTGGTCTGGTGCTCTGCTCATCTAAACAGTTGCTTTGCTGGAGCAATTGAAGGGAAGAGGTTAACTCTTGCATACCTGCCCTGCCTCCTGTATGGAGTCTCTGGAAGACTGTCCTTAGGGTTTTTAAGTGTTGTTTTGGGGTGAAGCAAGATTCTCTAAATTAGGACAGCTGGCAGGAAATGCAAGGAAGGCTATCATTCATGCCAAATAGAAGAACTATTGCATATGTATAAAAGTAACACCATTCTCAGAGTGTTTCTGGCTGTCCCAGATCTACTGAATGAGCAAGATAATGCGACCAGTTACAGTGAGGAAGGTGTGACGAGAGTGAGTTGTAGAGAAGAAAAGATTATTTTTCACTGTGGATTTTGACTGTACGCTCTCCAGAAAGCTTATTTCTGTTATCTTAGTTGCCATGGTGCTCGCACAGGCACTTTTGAAAATGTTTTTGCTCTTATGCAAACGCTGGACAAGTGCTGAGCTCGTAGCTGGCTGCTTATCTTTCTCCCTTGTATGCCAGACACTCTGCAGCTCAGCCAGCAAACTTATTCTGCCGGCCGTTTGTCTCCCTACCCATAACCTAGTCTGACATCTTGCTCCCTGGCTCATGGGTGTCTGGGAATGTAAACTGAAGTCAATTAATTCTTTATATAGATGTACTGTAAACCCTGTAGAAAAGGGAGAAGGCCCCAGAATGCACAGTAAACAAAATATTCAGCAATTTTTTTCAACACAGAATTTCAGAATATCAAATTTATTAATTCAAGATTAAGTTTCATAGTTTTGGGGGTGAGGTGGAGTGCCCTAAAATTTTTCCGTGAGACCAACTGTCTCAGGGTATCTGCAAGCTAAGTTACGTAGAGCTATTATGATTTATACTAATTTTATGCTTTTTTCACAACCAGGGAGCTAGAAGTACTCAATGGTTTTTTGTTTGCCTTTTTTAACCAAAGAAAGTGATTTTTCTTCATAGAGGACAGACTCCCATAGCAGATTCTCCAGCCATAAAGTATATGAGTCCTTCCTTAAAAAAACAACAGGATAGGGCAGTGCTATAGGGATAGCATGAGTCATGACCTGGGAATGCTTTCTGAACTGTAGCTGGTGTTTCCCGTTGCTAGGACAACCACCTACTTTTTGTGTGTCGGGTTAAAGACTTTTAGTGACCCGTTCTTTTGAGCATGTTTCAGGAATTTCTAGCAACAGTCAGCAGATAAATCCAGTTTTTCTTCTCAGAACAACTGATTTGTCCTTTCCAGATTGCAGATTTTGGCATGTCAAAATGGCGTGTCATATCCATGTCACAATCACGAAATGAAACCTCTTTGCCAGAAGGAGGGACAATTATCTACATGCCACCTGAAGATTACAATCCCAGTCAGAAAACCCGTGCAAGTGTAAAACATGATATCTACAGGTAACTCATGTTGTTCTCAAGTGGGCTTTGCAATCTGAATTCAAATTTGATTTACTGAACTTAGCCTTTAACATATTTTCAGCAATTTTATTATCTTCAGAAGTGTTGTAAGTGTATAAGCAAAAGAAATTGGGGAAAATAGAATTGAGTGGTAGCTGGATTTGATCACCTGTTTCTTTAGGAAACACTGTGACAAGTGTAATGCTCCAGAAATTAAGCTAAAACGACAGAAACAGACAGAGGAGACTGGTTTCTACAAATGAGTGTACACATAGAGACAATGTAGGGAGGGGAAAAACTGTTCGCACCGTTATCTCAATGCACATACCCTTGTAATTTGTGCACATCAATTAACATAATTTGCAGAATGTACTCAGGGGGAAGAAGAAAACATTGTTTGAAAGGGGTTAGGGAAAAACAGGGTAATGGTGTTGGAGGAAGTGTTTCAAGAGATCTCCTTAAGGAGTAACTTACTTTATTTCAGGTAGATTTGCATCAGCCAGTTCTGAGTAGTAGAAGAAATAGAATAGGAAGTAGTAGTGCAGTGGCGACCCATATAACAAAACAGCAATTGCTCTTAGGATATTAGAGTTACAATTAGCTAATCTGAAAAGGCTTGGAGAGCTCAAAGATTACTTGAATGGTCATGGAGGGAATTGTCATGTGTAAATGGAGATGGAGAAGGCATGAAGAGGCATATCACTGTCCATCTCTGTTGCACTCTACCACCTTTACCTTCAGCTATCTTTGACGGGGATGTATTTTGGTGAGAGATGAACTGGTCTCAGAGGGTCTCACTGACTTCCAGGGAGACCACTATTTCTTTTAATTATCCCTTACCCTTAAAGGGCACACAAAGTTCCTTGACATTCCTGTCCAAAGAATAGAGATGGTAACATACCTGCTTTCCTCACCCTTTGATGAGAAAATCTGGATTAGGAAGACACTGAAAAGGAATAATGGTATATCATGGGGAAAGAAGTAGTAGTGTGACTTTATCCCCTCTGGCTTCTGATTTTAGAGGATTTGGAAATGTGGCTGGGGGCTTAATGAGTGAGTGGAGATGGGGAAGACAGATGTTTGTTAGAAAGAAAAAAAAAAAGTGTGCAGAGGAATAACAACCAAATGGGAGAAAATAAGAGAGAAAAGATGAGTAGAAGAGCTTAGAAAACTGGTAAATTAGGAAGGAAAGAGATTATTTGAGAAGAGAAACAGACAATATCATAGAGGGATGGCAGTTCAAGGCAGGAAGACATGAAGGCAGAGAGACAGTGAAGGCAATGACCACCAGAAAGGTTCCACAGGAAGATCTGTGCTGAGGATCAGAACGAGATGCTATGAAGCAGAAATAAGAAAGGAAAACATGAATAGTGTAAAGGAGAATCAGCAGCAAGTGGTATGCTGCAGTGTTGCAGAATTGAGAAAATAATCTTTAATTGTAGAGAGATTCCAAACTGAATGAAAGGTTGGATGTCTGATTAATTGATCACAGCAGATACAGCTGAATGTTATTGAGATATTGAAACTAATTTGTGAAGAAGGATCTTTCTTAAAGAAAGAAAATTTTTAAATAACGCTCAAGCAGCATTAACTTTTACGAAAGGAACAATTTGCCACGCCAAAAAAAATCAGCCTGCAAGAATTTCTCAGGAATGCATCAAAAGCAGAGTTTCTAACAGGGAGGACTGCTTTTATTAAAAGTTACTTGAATAAATTTTATCATTGATGAATGTTAAAATGTGAATGGAATAAGTAGTTAGCAAAGCTCAATTTATATGATTGATTTTTAGCACCTGTTATTTTGTTCTTACTTAATTTTTTGATTCTTTCTAATTGGTACCTGTTAGATGATGGAATGCTCAGAGGCAGTTAAATGTAACCTGTATGCAAAATTTGGTACTTCTTAGTGATGTAGGAAAATACTGTCTTTGTGTACAGTTATTTGAGTAGTTGAGCAAACAATTATTCTGATAAGTGTAATTCTTCATTAGCAAAAAAATAATTCTTTGCATAGTTTCATTTTTATTGCTTCAGTGGAAATTGGATTTCAATTTTTTTGAAGTAAGATTTTAAATACTTTTCAATCCATTTTTAAATGGATTTACTGAAAAAATGAAGGAGTAGAGGTAAGTTTACAAACATATGTTTGACATTGGAAATTAAGTTCTTAAGCAATGAAATATTTTTGCTCTCTCATTTTAGTTTTAGAACTACCAGAGTTATTCCTCACACTAAATTCCTATTCTTAAATAGGAAAACCAGATTTGGGGTTTTTACATTATATTATTTTCTTTTACTTGCTTTAAGTGCATTGATTTTTTTTTTGTAAATGAAGTCAATGCTTCATTTAAATGAAATAATCTAATCCAATTTAAATTACAAACTTGTTTACGGTTACCTTTTTTAATATATCCTGATGATTGAAGAGAGTGGCTAGTCTACTAAAGATGGGGCAGATTTGTATTCACTGAGCCACTTCCCATTCACGTTGATGTGAATGGAAAAATATTTCACTGGTTTGAGTAAGCAGATGTGTGTTCAGTCTGCTGGTTATAGTTCGGAGGGGTCTTCCTGAGAGTCTCTTTTGTAAAGTGGGTCTTGTATGGAAAAGTAACATCTCTCCCTATAGAGAAGATTGCATATGTTGAAAGTATGTATGCCTGGGAGGAAGCTGGAGTGTACTTCCCAGATGCCAGTCCGTATCTTACCTGATTCTGACTTTGTGTTGGGATAGAGGTGTGGGTGAATGCCATCCTCCCTGCTAGTACCCTGCTTCCCATGGGAATGTCGGAGAGTGTTGATCCAGCCTGGGGAGATGCCACAGTATTGCAATTAGGACTCTGAGGGTTACTTTGATTTGCGTACTGAGATTTAAACTACATGTACGTAATTCACAACATATCAGTAGAGCAGAGCTAATATAGATTTGGAACAGAAGTTTATATGCCATGTACCTTTTCTGTACTTAATATTACTAACTAGTTCTTGTTGAAGTCACTTGTTAAAATTCCTGCTAGTTTTCAAAAATTCAGGTCATCGTTGTAGTTAGCTATAGTCAGTCCCATGTGTGCATGCAGGATCATTTTAGTGAAATGTTTTTAATCAAATGCAAAGTTAAGCACATTGTGTTATTAAGTGTTTGTAATCTAAAATAACATCTTCTATACTTTTTATAACTTAAACAGTTATGCAATTATTATGTGGGAAGTGATGGCAAGGAAACAGCCATTTGAAGGTAAGGACGTGTCTTCCTTTAATTTATTTTTCCAACCTTATGTAAAAGCTAAACCTGAGACCTGGGTACCTAGGGACTTAATTTTAGGGGTTACTTTTTAATAAGTCAACCTGTAAGCTTGTTGAAGAACACTTTTGAGTTACTTTTCAAATTAGACTCTTTTTCCATATTGTTTTTTTTTTTAAATTACAGTGTTGTTTCATGAATTAAAAATACATTTTTTTGTAAAAAAGGAAACATAACCTTATTTCAGTGAACTATAAATACTATGTCTGCAAACTAAATTATTCCTCCTATAGTAAGTTATTTATATTGCATATATTTCTAATGAATGCACGATGTCTATTTTGACAGAAGTTATAAACCCCTTGCAGATAATGTATAGTGTGTCACAAGGACAGCGACTAGACTTAAGTGAAGAAAGTTTATCAATGGACATTCCTCATCGAGTGCTTGTCATAAGATTGATAGGAAGTGGATGGGCACAAAACCCAGATGAAAGACCATCGTTCTTAAGTGAGTTTACCTTGCATAATGAGAAAAGATTTTTAAATTGCCAGATTTCTGTTGAACATGGTACTTACAGGGCAAGGTTATAGTCACAAAAGGGAAATGGTAAATATGTCAAGAGATACATGTGCTCAGTCTTGTTGAGTATATATGATAAGGTGTGCTTGTCTGCTTCCACCATGTCTGTAAACAAACTTTCATGAATGGAACTACGTGTGTGCCATAAAACCAAGTTGTTAGTTGGAGTCTTTTGCATTTGCCAGCTCTAGTTTACCTGTAAAAAAGCAGCATGTTTTGTTTAACTACTTGCACTTGGGTTTTTTTGTTTATTGTTGAAGGGAACTTTTATTTTAAGGGCAGGGGTGGGGGGTGATGGGGTGGGAGTAAAGTATATTATGAGTACCGTGGGATTTATGAGCAAGCTGGCAAACACACCAACAAATCATTGCACATTAGATAAGCTACAGTGACTTCACCTTGTGTTTGCATCTCAGGATAAATCTTTTTCACTGAGACTTTATCTTCGACTGTTCCACCTCCTACATTGAGCAGGAACTGGTTGAACCCACACGCTTAACTTTCTCTTTCCATCTTTCCTTTGCTCAGCTTTTTGTCCACAAGTCCAAATATAGATACTTTCAGCCTTTTTTACAGTGGATTACAGAATTTATAGAATAAGACTGATGTGTGAGCTTGTAGTGATGAGAGTGGCATAATGTGAACTGGAAAAATTTTGGGTTGATTTTTGGAAACGTGTTTGTTGCACTTAACCGACGTACTTGGTGTATGTTGAGTCCAAATTTATCCCCCGTAAGAATTTCTCCTTAACATGCTTAATTTTGTGGTGACTTTTGCCTCTTGTTTGGCCATTGTGTAAACGTAATTCCATCAAAATTGGTGGAAAGTGGTTACCTGTTCTCAACTATGAAATTTGCTCTTGCGAGTGTTGCTGTGGTCACATACGTCAGTGTGGTGAAGCTAACAGTGGTTTATACAGCTGCCTTGTTGTGCTTGTTTAATTTGCATGTGCTTTAAAAACTTCCTCCCAACACCTTTAGAAAACATGATCCTAATTCCGTAGGAAAAGCTTAATCACCATGGAGAGGCAAAAATGTAGAATACTTTCTGAGAGTTACTAAAATACTAACTCAGTTACTGAAAGTATTCAACTGTAGAACAGTACAAAGAAAAAAATTCTATATTTTAAGTTTCTCACTGGTTAGATTGAGGATGCAATGGCTCAAACCTGAAATACTAGGGTTTTTTTAGTTGGTTCTGGTGGGTTTTGTTTTTAGGGTTTGGTTGTGTGCTTTTTTTTTTTTTAATGTTACGAGTAGAGAGGTCTGCAATCTTAAAGTTTCATTTGTAGCTTTGGTGAACAGAAGTTTGTTTATTATTTTGAAAACCTTTGTAGGCTTACTTCCTTTGAGCTGGAAAGTGTTAGAGAGTTGCTGTTCAGATAGCTTAGAAAGAAATATTCATAACTTCATTTTTTTGCATCAGTTTGGCAGAGAAAAGAATGGGGACACATCCAAACACACACAATATTTTCATGTTCAGTTTACAGTCCAAAATGAATTACATGACCATTTTTTGAGGCATTCTTACTTTTGCCTTGAGAACATTTTGAAATGTCAGGTTATTTTGGCATTAGTCTGGTTTGTGTGGTTGTAAATTCTGGATTGTTTTTGTCCAAGCAAGGAAATATATCTTTTTATAATATTTTTTTAAATCAAAAAGGATAGACACATCACAATATTTCCTCATGTATTCTTGTTTTCCTGTGTCAGTTAACTAAAGTAAAATAGCAATCAGAGTCTATGGTCACACTGAAGGGATAATTACCTGAGATATGTACTAAAGTGTGAGGTAACTTGGGTTCTGTTATTAGTGCCGTGTCTGTAGTAAGATGGCCTTTGAAGAAAACTTGCATTGCTTTTCCCACTACTTTACTATCATAAAAAGAAAGAGGAAGTTGCAAAACTGTTGCAAAATTAAGGGAAGTAAAGCTCAGTGATTGGGAAATTTTGCAATTACCATAGCACGGGGTGGGGGGGCGGAAACCAAAACACCCAAACCCCCTTTTTGTTAAATAAATAGAAAAGCTTGGTTAACCTGTCTGTTCCTCTTATAAAGAAGGGATAAAGATTACTTATTACCATGTTTCTGCATGTACTCGTAAAGTGTACCTACAATTTAACTGTAATCAACAAAAATTAACAGTGCTAGTATTTCAGTGTGCAAAATGGAGTGCCAGACCTGTAGAACTCTGTTTTAGCTGATGCAAGAAAATAAGAATCCCAGTATTGAATGTATGTCTTGAAGATACTAGTGAAAAAAAGTTAATATGGGAGAACTGTGGTAAAATTATAGTAAAAAATAAAAATATGCTAATAAGGATGCAGTGTGACGGATTGCTAGTACAGTAAATGGGTTTTGCTCAATGGGTGGAGTCCATAGAAATGCAGTAGAATTGTGATATGCCATCATCCTTTCCTGAGGTTTTGTTGTACTTGAGTACAGTTTCAAAGAGACATTTTTATAATACAGTCATCTCAAAATTTTAAATACTTAGTTTTGTAGACCTTTCAGCATTGGAAAGCAAGGGAGCATAGCACAGGTTGTCACTTGCTTATTGGATCGTTGTGTTTCTTCTTAATGTGAGCAGATGATTTTAGCTTCTCTGAGTTGCTGCTTTTGGTGAGCATGGGGACACTATCATTTGGATTCACTGGATTTGATAGGTCAGTGCCTTGACTATCACCATCTTCTCTGGCAATGCCTCACAGCATCTGGTTTGGATTTTGCTGTGGTGGGGGGTTGTTTGTTTATTTTTCTCATATAAATCTCTAATAACACCTCTGGTGGAGTGGGAAGACAGCAACCTACTCTGAGGTCTTGTGCTGATCGGTCGCATTTAGCAAACCAGGCTTGTTGGATCTACCTTGAAATATAGCAAACCCACCAATCTGTCCATTCCAGGAATGCAAGACCTGCGGTCGGGCACAGTCCTCGATCTCTTTTTATACAGAGTGCTGAGGTGGCCAGATCAGGAAAGGGTTTGCTTTGGTGATGTGAAACTGTTGCATTTGTAACAGGTGAAAACAAGAAACTTCTGTTTAGCAGCATAAGTAGTTTGATATGCATCAACAGACAAATTACTTCTGTAAATGTAAGAAAGTAGCTTTAGCAAAATAAAAACAATTTCCACCTTAAATCCTTCAGCAAAGTACTCTTTCTTTGTTTAGAATGCTTAATAGACCTTGAGCCAGTCCTGCGAACATTTGATGAAATAGCTATGCTGGAAGCAGTAATTCTGTTAAAGAGATCAAAGGTAAGTGGCTTTTGTTACAGTCATGAGTTGGTCAAATAAGTTGGTAACTTTTGCTTGCTAAAAGAAATGCAATCTCCTTTGTCATTTATCTGATCTTGTATCTGGCTGAAGCATGTGTTTGTACAGAGCTGTCATAGCAGAAATTTAATATGTCTCTTCCAGTCACTATATGAATCACGATGTATTTACAAGAGTGGGAAGAAAGCAGATGTGGAGCAGATAGCTCTAAATATACCTCTGAATCCCCAGGAGGTAAATATTTTACATATTGCATTTGGTATGTTGGCATCATTAAAGATCGTGAGAGCTTTAAAAAGGTGTTAACTTAGTAAGGGGGAACTGTTCTGCAGTTTACTTTCCTATGCAGTTAGGAAAGGTCTAAAATGCATTAGCTGGGCTGGGGTGTAACAAATGCATATCCATATAGGTGAAGATAGTAAAGGTTGGGTAAGCAGAAATAAGAAAGGCATGTTTGGTATATGATCTAAGAGTGGGAAAGCCAGTCCCTCAAGGAGGAACGCAGCACACAATGTCTGCAACTTGTAAGAGACTGTCTTCTGCTCCCTTACACCTTTATGGAGCTTGTTTATATAGGGTCACATAGATTTTCTTTTACATTTAGATTCTTAATGCTGCTTGGTTTAATTCTTACTAATAATTAAACTCATATACGAAATTGCTGTCAGCTTTGGAAAAAGACAAGTATAAGGATTACATAGATTTCTTCTGTTTTACTATATTTTAATTGTGCTGTCTATTGAGCATTTAGATAGTAGGGAAAAGACAGTGATGGGAAAGTACTCTGTAAATCATTGCAACTTTGTATTTATTTAATGCGCGTTTTCATTATACAACTGGAATCATTTCAGGAAACATATTCTGGCTCCATACAATGTGATGCACTTCCTCTTCGGAGCATCTCTCCAGATATATCAAGACTCAAGTCTGTTCCCAAATGTAACATCCTCTCATCAGGTAGAGATACTAATGACTTCATATAATTTTAAGTTGTCGTCATAGCTTTACGTTCCCACTGTAACACCGCATTTGCATAGTAGATAGTTGGATCTCCATTTATGTCAGAAAAGAGAAGTGTTTTGCAAACTTAGTTCTCTGGGTAAAAAACTAGGGTATTTTAGCTCTGATTTTCTGTTCCCGTCACTTCAGAAATCCCCATAGCTCACAGCTTCAGTTTTCCTATTCAGGGTCGTGAGTGCAGAGATAGCATTTAGTTGTTCCTTCTGACTCTTGGCAGTTTAGTTAATCATTTGTGAATTACTTCTAAAGATAAAAAGGCTAATCATTTTGAGGCACTCCTAGAGCTCAGTAAACTGAAAGTTTCTAATGCAGCCCAACCTCTCAATCATTTTTGATTCAATAAATAAAACAGCTTTAATAAATAGATTGCCTTGTAAAAGTATCTGCACAGACCTTTTGTAGCTGTCACCTTTTCTGAATAAAAGTTGGCAAAATTCCCAGACAAAACTCAGTTTTGAGGTTTTGCTGACATCAGGAGCCAGAAAAATGTGATGGGACCCAGGTGGAATAGCAATACGTTGTGAAACTAAAACTGCACTTGAGTTTCTTCTCTTGAAAGAATGCAAACATATATTTCCAAAGAATGGAGCATGCTTTGGCTTTGCAGGGACCAGTGGTATGAAAGCAGGCAAGACAATTGACCTCACTGCTATAAAGTAAGGCATTAAAAAGTGTTCTGAGGTGCTGCAAAACTGGAGATATTCTGGTGGAGGTAGGAGGGCACACACAGTTCCTTTTCCAGTTCCTGTTTGAACACATCCAAAATTTTGGGCTTGTACTCAGTGTACTAGAAAAATCTAAATACAGCAGGAATTCCAGGGAAAATAAGTTACAGGAAGCTTAAGGAATTTGAGTTACTGGTGAAATTGGCAAAAAGCAAATGCAGTGTAGTTTGTCTGTACCTTAACCCAAGCGTTTATCTATACACATAGCATAAAAATCTTAAAGATGAAGAGTAACTTGTGGTTACCAAGCTTAATAGGAATGTTGTGATGAATTTTAGAAAATGGAATATTAGATTGAATATGAGCATGGACTATAAGTGTAATCAGATAAGATAATGATAAATGTCCACCCTTCTTGCTGCTGGTTCCTGTTAAAAATTGTCATATCTGCCTGTGGAGGTCATTAATCAGATTGTGGTGGTACTATTAATCTGACTGATCAGTTGGTGGTCCTTTACAGAGTCACTGCTTAGACTTTGTTGCATGTATGTATAGATACTGCAGAGCCAGTGAAAATAGTGTCTGTAAAACCATACTACAGCAGAAGTGTTTGTTATTACTTTGCCAATATCTGCATCAGGTAGTTTTATAATGGAAAGCAAGACTGACATTCTTCTTATTTTGCCAAAATTAGATGCAATTGTTTCAGGTGAAAATCTGTTCCCAGGTAGCTGCTGGCAAGAGATGAGTTTGGCATGGCACCAAGGAGGAAGTTAATGACTGTAGGTTTTAGTTGAGTTGGTTTTTTCCACCAATATGATTACTAGCTTTTGTCAGAAACTTGCTTCTTCAGAGTTAGGAGCTGTCTTCTAACTTTCAGCCTCTTCAATTTTTCTTCCCTAGCCACCTTATACACACACTTATTCTTGGGCATTGCTTTAAGCTCAAATGGCTCTTTTCCCTCTTTTCCCATTTTATTTCTGATATAGAGAGGAGTAATCCTTTAATACATTTTGTTTTGCTACACAAACAGGATATGCTCTTTTGACGTCCATTTGTAAAATAAGCTTCTTCATTCTCATGGTATCCTACTAGTCCTCCTTGTGCATGTTCTAACTTAAGTCATTGAACTAAGGCTACCAGACATCTGTACTTAATATTATGAAAGAGGTGTGGTAAATGTTTTCTGTCTGAAAAAAAATCTTTACTTAATATACCTTAGAATTTTATTTTTTCTTTCTCATAAGATCCTTTGTTACAGAATAGTCTACCTAGGGTTTTGTTTGGGTTTTTTTCCTCATCTCAATTCCAAATCATTAGCCCCAGCTTGAAGCAGAAAGTCTGAATCTCATGTTTTTGCAACTGAATTTCCACTTCTATTACTCCAGTCTTCTAGGTCAGCTAGGTTCTTTCTGAGTAACCTGGGTCAACACATTCTTTCTGAATAACATCTGCAAATTTCATTAGCATGTTTCTATTTTTTATGCTATGGTCACTGGTCAAGGTCATTCTCTCATACTAGTACAAGCCCAGTAGTTTTGCCTCTAATGTTACTAAAGTGCTGTCTGTGCCTAGACATCTATAACAATATATCTCAGCAGAGCTGTTTAAAATCCTTTTCTAAAATGATCTTTCAGTCACACTGGTTGTCTCCTAATCCTTTCTCGTTCATGCAATAGGTAACATCTGCAGCTTCACACTACATAGCTCTGCCCAGCTTACTTTCTCTCTCTTTAATGAAATGAAATGCTAGTTACTACCAGTTCTAGTCCACCATTTTTTAAATAATGGGTGTAATTTCTTTCACATTTTCCTATTCCTGCTCCCTGTACTTATAGCCATATTCTTCCACAGGTCAACACTCTGATCTAGGAATATACCCCCATTGGATGGCTATCTATAAATCCTGAGCTGTCCAGGGGGCTACCTGTTCTTATCGTGTCTTTAGATGTTAATCTGAATTCTTACATCTTCATCTCTGATTCTTAGTTAACATCTCTGAAGCTCTTTATCAAGTGACACTGCAAAAGTCTGTAATGAAAACTGTACACAGAATTAGGCACGTGCCCTGTAATTGGTTTCTCATCAGCTATTTGTCATCTCTTCTTTGAGTCATTCCTACTGCTGGTTTCATATCCATCATCTTTTTCTGCCATAAAAAATCCTAAAAATAGAAACTAATAATCTTCCCACCTGACAAAACCCCCTTTTTTCCCCTTTCTTTGCAAATGTTTACATGAAGCTTTCTTGAAGTCATACACTGTTTTGACGGACTACCAAAAGCTTCCATTGGCTTCCCACCAAATGCCACCATCGGTCTTCATGTTCTTTCCCTCCACCCGAATCTTTCTTTCAATCTTTCCACCTCTGTTACACTGCCAAACTTCATCAAAATAAATTAGTTGGCTTTCATGCTGACTCCTAGCTACCTCTCCAAACACTTGAAGGACTTATTTTGTTCTTCCAGTCCCTACAAAAATTTCTTGTCAAACAGAGCTTTTTTAAAGTTCACATCTACCGGATTTATTCTCTCAATGTTCTTTTAAAATAAAACAAGAATCCCAAACCCATGGTCAAGCCCTGGTGATATATAAGGAACATAAATGTGCTCAGAACCTGAGTGTAAGCAATAATGTGTTGTATTTGAAGTGAATTTAGGTTGTTTATGGCTTCTTTTATGGAATTGCTCTAAAGTCTCTGATGGCTGTATTTTATTTTAACATGGAAGTAATACAGCTCATTTTTTTTTTTTTTTTTTTTTTTTTTTTTTTTTTCCTCCTTTTGTTTTTTTTTAAGATGGAAATTCTGGGGGTCTACACTCTCTCAGCAGTCAGAGCACGGATGAAAATATCTCTGTAACTCAGGGTGCCAAACTTCTTGTGCATCCATACAGTTATTGTCCCTCGTCTGACAAGAGCATTTCAGATGCCTCAAATTCTGCATCGTGTATGCTGCGGTCATCACCAACTCCTTCAGGTACTGATTTAATTCCAAGACCCACAACAAGTGTCCTAATATCAAATACATGTGTGTATGAAATGGAAACTAGAACTGTTGTTCACCTGTAAAATGAAAACAAAGCATTCTACAAATTAAGAATGCAGTAATTCTCTCCTCATAGCCTTATATTACAAAGTAAGTAAAACCAATATAAAATGTGACCTAATACATGTACCTGTAGCTCCTAGCTTTTTTTCCTCCTTTTAAGCAAACTTAATTCCTGCTGCCTTGGATCATCTTTATCCCATTCCCTTTGCTTGTATTATTTCTCCTTTCTCCTACTGCTGTAGCAGTACTGCAGTCCAGCAGAACAGGAATAAAAGTTAGCTTGAGCTTAACTCATCTTGTTGCCTGTCACTTCTCCTTGCTTTTTAGTCCTGTCAATCTTCCTCCTAGTAATGGTGGGACAAAGAGAAGCAGCAGCTGTCAGCATCTCACCTTTAATGATCTTCTGTGTTAGCTGAGAGCCCACTGTATGATATTCCTAAGCATCATATAACTATTAAAAGTGTGCTTCCAAAAAAATGGTAACAAAAAAAAAACTTTAATGCATGATGAATTATTCAGAGATTTATTTTTATGGGCCACACAATAACATGCAACTCTATAAAGATCTGCCATATGATACCTCTTCTGGAAATATGAGAATCAGCAGCTTTTCACTGTGGGAATCCTCAGCTTGAGGAAAATATGCAGGGAACTACAGGGATGTTTCCAGTAAACTTCAATAAAAATCCCACTGGAAAGTGAAGTTACCACCTCTCTCTTTCTAGTACAATGTTGGGCTGAACACTGGAACAGGTTGCCCACAGAGGCTGTAGAATCCCATCACTTGGAGATGCTCAAAATTCAGCTGGACAAGGCCCTGAGCAACCTGAGTTGTCCCTGCAGCTGGCCCAGCTCTGAGCAGGCCATTAGACCAGATGACCTCCGTGAGGGTTCCTTCCAACCTAAATTATTCCGTGACTCAGATAAAATAAATACTCTAACCACCAAATCTGACAAATTGGTGTATTTTATATGTGGAATAAAATAGGGAAATGTTAAAAGCATGTTTAGTAGTCTGGTGTATTTCTGACCAAAACCAAGTTTTGAACAGCTCTTTCTCAGCTTGTTCTTTGTTCTATGGCACTGTTTATTGACAGACAGTTACAATACTATTTTTTTTTTTTAATCCTCTCCAATCTCAGATTTTGTTTTGGAAACCATACAACAGAATGTAGCTCATCAGTGGATCCAAAGTAAAAGAGAAGAAATTATTGATCAGATGACTGAAGCATGTTTGAATCAGTCACTGGATGCTCTTCTATCAAGATTTTTACTCATGAAAGAAGACTATGAACTTATAAGCACCAAGCCTACAAGGACATCAAAAGTCCGACAACTTCTTGATACATCAGATAGCCAAGGAGAGGAATTTGCCAGAATTATAATACAGAAGTTGAAAGATAACAAACAGCTAGGACTTCAACCTTATCCAGACATTGTATCTAATTCTCTAAGACTGCATCTTTAAATTTATTCTTTCTGTATGAAGCCATGTGAATATTTCTTACAATATGATTCTTGTTTCTTTATAGTAGTTTTATATATGCATTGCTTTGTCTTTATGGCGCCTTTGTAGAGTCTCAGAAATGACACTGAGTTCATCTAGACTGCATTTGGTGAGTTATAAATTAATCAGTTGGAGTGCCGTCATAAAGCCAAACACTTGACAGTTTTTGACTCAAGTCATACAAGTATTTTGTTTATACATGACAAAGAAAAAACATTAAATGTTCCCTGTTTTACATATTTTCTGTTTATACATATCCTTTCCTTTCACCTCACAGGATTGAGAGAACCCATCTCAACTTGGCATATTGGTTTTCTCCCTCCATCTGGTCTTTCTCATAGAGGGAGAAAAAAATCTGGGTGCTTTATTTTGGGGCTTGTATGCTGTGTTTATAATAAATTTTCTTCTTTCAGCCAGATTGGTTGCTCCTCCCAAGATACCTGAGAAGAGAGGTAGGTGGGAGGAAGTTTACATTGCATTTTTACAGGATTTTTATTATGTTTTGTTTTGGTTTTCCCATTTTGTTGCCAGGTCAAGTGCTTCAGACCACTGCATAAGAAGAATGTCAGTCCAAAAAGGATCCCAGGGGCAAGGAGGACATTGTGCTGATCGTCTTTGTTCTGCTAAGAACTGGTGCATTAGAAAGGGTACAGCTATAGCCTTTTACATTATTTGGTTACACCCACTTAAATTCCTCTTGAAATAGTAGTATGATGAGATCTACATACAGCTCACAGAAGGAAGCCTTCAGTTAATGCCTTTCACATTTCCTCAGTTAATGCCTCCCTTACCTTTGTCATCTGCCGTAAATACTTCTCATGTCATGTTGCTGGATCAAGCTTCTAACTCAATTTTATTTTTAGTATTTACATGATGACCAGTTGTTTGGTCTGTACAAAGATCAAGCATGCACTGCCCTGCCAGATTGGAAGTAATGTGCATGGGTCTCTCCTGCCATGACCTGCCTTAACCTTCTCTGGACAACATCTCTGCTGTCCTTTTTTGCCTGAAGGATGGTGCTAACAGGTTGAGGCACAAATGGGGCCATCTGAGAGGAAAAGGTATGTGGTGATTTTTTTTTTTTTTAAGTTCATTTCAGAAAGCCTTAGTGATTTTACCTAGGTGGCTTCAAACCCAGTAAAGAATTACTGGTTTTAATTTGTCAGAAAACAACACAGGCAAATGATTTTCACAAGGACTAATAAATAATTACAAATTCTGCTAACACTATCTAAAATTTGGGGAAATCCGAACTTCTAGTACAAGAAAGCTGAAATCTACCTAACCTGCTATATAAAAAGGGGGAGATAAATGAGAAATCCTCAGTGATGGCTGTTTGGAAACCAGTGGATATGTGAGACCTGCTCCATTTCAACAATTCAAGTTTCATTGTGGATATTATTGGTTGCCAACAGCTTATTTTTTAAAATATCTGTCTGAACTTATTTTGTGAACTGAATCACAAGAATATGATGTATAATTTATGGGATAGAAAAGGGTTTTTTTAATTTTTTTAAGGTAAGTTTTGGCATGAACTGGGAATTTGAATTTTATCCTGCTTCTCTCTGAAGGCTGTAAAATTCAAACTAGATAGCTGAGACCAGGGCAATGGTGCAAGGAATGGGTGTGCCCTTTTACCAGGTGGTATGTTGTTCTTGTAGTAGGGTCTGTATGAGTTGCAAACTTTGTAATTTATTATTTTAAATTAGGTGTAAGAAGGTAAATGCACTCCTGCTATATGAAAAAAAAAAAAAAAAAAAAGGCTGAGGGTGGTCATTGGCCTGCCAGGTGGCATCTGATGTCTCATGTCTGGGGGTCTGCACCTTCTTCTATTTCCCAACTTACTGAAACCAACTTCTGCCTTGGAGCAAACAGAACTTGAACACAGCACAGATGCTATGCTTCCTAGCTCTACATGCTGTGCACAGTACATGATGATGCTTGTACAGGCTGGCAGGCTCTGTTCTGAAAGTGTGACTTGTGCTGTTGATCCTTCCTGGTGCTGCTGCTGCACCTTTGTACTCACTTGCCTCTGACATGTTTTGCAGCCTGCCAGTGTGCCTGCTGCAGCTTTTCTGCCAGCACCCCACAAGCTGCTGTTCCCCAGAGGTCATGTGGATGGGTGGAGGAGCCCTGGGGAACAGATGTGACAGATCCCACCTGTTCCAGGTGCCACCAAGGCAACTGTGGTAGTTGTCCTCCCTCCAGTCTCTTCATAGTGGAGAGGAAATGTTGGACATAAATGACGAGGACCCACTGGTAGGACACCTGGCTGAAGGAAAAGAGCATCCTGCTGTTTTCTGAAGTCTTTCTGCTGACTCTTGCCTGTCATAGGGAACTAGCTCGGGGTCAGTTAATAATGATGATAAATCTGTCCTGCAGAGTCACATTCAGGAATGGTGCTGTCATGCTGCTGGAATCACTATGGGCTGCCCCTCTTCATCTGCCATCACCCACAGGTGGCCCCGCTGCAGGAAAAGTAATTTTCTACCCCCAGTCCTGAATACACACACATCTGTAAGGCCATGAGAGTTGTTCTAGCCAAAGCCCAGCCCTCCAAGGAAACCCTGAGGCCACTCGATAGAAGAACTCGGTCCTATCTACCTCTTCTTTCCTTGGATCCTGAGCCTCTGTGAAAGAGTAGGATCCATACAACTGCCCAACATGTTAAGCACACAGAGATTTCCTCAAGACTGAAATGGAGGAGGGGGTAGGCACACTCAGGATTTGAGAGATACAGAAGAGGGGGTAAGGAGAAAGCTTTGGGGTACGCATGGGGAAAGGGAAGTGGAGGCTGTGTGCCTGAGCCACTGTTTCGGGTTTGCATGGCAAGGTTTTGGTAGTGGCGGGTCTACAGGGGTGGCTTCTGTGAGAAGCTGCTAGAAGCTTCCCCTGTGGCCAATAGAGCCAATGCCAGCTGGATCCAAGATGGACCCACCACTGGCCAAGGCCGAGCCCATCAG